GACCAGTGCAAATACCTTTGCTACCTGCACGAGTGGCTTATAACAGCCTTCAGAAGCAGCTGGAAAGAGTAGAAATTGGCCAAATAGACAGATAACATGTCAGGGGTGTTGATCAGCTTAAGGTGTACAGTTCAGGAGTAGTTAAATGTACATACATGTATGTACTAGTACTATTTTGCCAATTTCTACTTCTTCCTTCTGAAGCCTGGTACAGGTTAATCCCAATGCTACTAAGTAAATATGCTACGAAACTTCCTCTCCATATAAGAAATGTTCCATTTTGAGGACTGCAATTTCGACAATCTCTTGAGTCTCCTGAGACACCCCACCTTCATAAGCTGCCACTGTTTACAGGAGAAGACACTGATGTAGTCCTTACAGTCTCTCCTCTCCGCCAGGGCCATGTACGAACCATCTCGGGTGAAGTCTAACACTACAGGGAACAGAGAAACAAATGATTCAGTATGGGAGAAACTTACTCAACTTTTACACCATGGTTTATCAGTATGTTTCATACATTTCTGGCAACCACATCCTTGAACCCTGATCATACCAGGTCAAAACTCTGTCAATTAACCAACCCACTCACTTTGGAACCCAATAATACAATCTCCCCCTAAACCAGCGCTGCCCAAAAACATACATTTGTACTTCCAATCTGGTACTTTTCCCAATGCCATATCATCATGAAAGAAGTTGTTACTCATTCCTTGACAAAGACTGGAGTTGTACAGTTGAAAAAAGTCCAATTTCTTGTGTTGAAAATTACAGTTCAATCTTGCTTTGTAATAACTCAGATGATCTTTGAAGTTCATGATATCATTTGTTGTACGTACTTTTCTTGCCCTGCTTGGGGTACTTGATGTAGGAGACAGACTTGTTGATGAGAGACCAGACCGTGATGCGCAGCTGGAAGTTAGCGAAGGTAAGGATGTGGCGACTGTCGGGGCTCCAACAGACAGACTCCAGCCCTGCTGATCCCTCGTCTATCTTACAGGTCCACTCAGGCTGATCTATGGACCACACCTGGGGGAATAAGCTGTGTGTTTAGTACTACTGTAGTGTTTATACTGTACTACTGTTACTGTACTGTTGACTGTCAGGACTCCAGCAGACAGACTCTAGCCCTGCTGATCCTTCGTCTATCTTACAGGTCCACTCAGGCTGATCTATGGACCACACCTGGGGGAATAAGCTGTGTGTTTAGTACTGTAGTGCTGTAGTATTTATACTGTACTACTGTTACTGTAGTGTTGACTGTCAGGGCTCCAGCAGACAGACTCCAGTCCTGCCGATCCCTCGTCTATCTTACAGGTCCACTCAGGCTGATCTATAGACCACACCTTTGGGGGAGAAATATAGCCAAAATTGTACTACTGGGTGACTCTCAGATTGTAAGGTTTGAACTGATGATCACACCAGCAAGGACCCCTTTTCTTTTTGATAACATGTGCTGGGATCTTTAACATGCTCGAGGTGTGGCTCTCCTCAAATGGAGACTTCCAGCTAGTTTTATGTCCTATCTGAGAGAACGTTCCTACTAAAGCTAGGTTCATTTTCACCTGAGTTGAGGGAGCAAGTAGGCGTAAAGTCCTGTTGACACAACTGTGGGGCCTACCTGGGATTTGAACCCAGAACCTTCAGTCAGCTGACAAGACCACCTCACAACCCACCTGAAACAGGTGCAAACTCACCTGAGTCATCCCCCTCTTGTACATACCACAGAGGATGAACTGTGAGTCAGGTGACCACTGCAGCTGCTACATGGCATCCAGACAGGTGTACAGGTGCTAACTAAACCTGATACAGGTATGAGCTTACCAATCACCTGAAACAGGTGCAAACTCACCTGAGTCATCCCCCTCTTGTACGTGCCACAGAGGATGAACTGTGAGTCAGGTGACCACTGCAGGTGCTGCACAGCATCCAGACAGGTGTACAGGTGCTAACTAAACCTGACACAGGTGTGAGCTTACCAATCATCTGAAACAGAGGTGCAAACTCACCTGAGTCATCCCCCTCTTGAACATGCCACAGAGGATGAACTGTGAGTCAGGTGACCACTGCAGGTGCTGCACGGCGTCCAGACAGGTGTACAGGTGCAGGATCTGCAGAGTCCTGACGTCACGCACGATCAGACGGTACTGCACACAGTTGGCCTGGGGAAGTACGGGGAAACATTCAGCTTTTTTTTGGTGTAGGCTATAAAATTCTCGATATCATTTCTATTTGTATGTAATACTGGTCAAAACCCCTCACTGGGGCATCATGACCAGGGTGCTGGGTGCACGGCTAAGTGCGGCCGGTGGGGTGATGGTGCTGAAAAGAACACATGAAAACAACAAAGTGCAAGAAAGAAAAAAAAAAAGAACCGAAATTGTGCTTAAACTCTATTTACATGGCCGCACTTGAAGTCCTGATTACCTCTGGGGGCAGGGATGGCCCATGTACTGGGCCAGCCCGAGCTTAAAGCTATCTACTGTTGTCGCTGTGACTATGTGTGCTGGTAAAGTATTCCACTCCTATTCTTGGTGCCAATTTTTTTTAATGGCACCATAAAAATGGCATAATTTGACACTTGGAAAGGGTAAATTAGTTCCAATTCTCTAAGAAAATGGCCAAATTATGCTGTTAACACATGTTACAATTTATCAACCTAAGGTATGATGCAGATAGAAGTTCACACAACAAAAAATTATTTTGAAAACATAGTTGGAAGATATTCTTACTCACCAAGTATTTTCCATTTGGGGAAAACAGGCACAGGCCGTTTGTTTGTTGGAAGAGGTCAGAAAAGTTCATCGTCTTTGGATAGTTAATTGTTCAAATATTGTCTATAAATCAACAAACATGCCGAAGGGGCTTAAAACGTCGCAAAGTGCCGTATTTTTGTCAGAAGTGTTTCTTCTAGCGTGAACAACCCGGAAGTGGCGCCATTTTCGAAATTGAGCGGTCCCGTGGAGGATGATGGGATAAAGGATGAACCATTATGGAAAAGGGGGTGTCTGGACTTGGCTGAATTTATTCTCCAAGCAGATGTTGGGAGGCAAAATTGCAACATTTTTCTAGTTCCCGGTGTTTGCCACAAACGACGAACGATCACAAAGGGGCCTATAGAGGACTACAACCTTCTTGGTGATAGTAATAATAGGAACTCCAGAAAGTCTCCTTTAGTTTCTGGAAATAGGAAATATTTTACAGATTGGAAAAAGTGGGAATATTGCCGGAAACTACTAAACGGCTTGTTATTGTTGCATAACAAATCTGTGGCCGGCTAACTACTTTTATAGCATTTCCTTTTTTGCTATCATTTTTGGGATGACATATCAGTAACGTTTATTTGTAATAATAAGCTACATCATGTATGTTACTTGGTTTCTTGGGGTCAGACCACTCAGACGGAGGGAAAAGTAGGTTAATTAATCTCCAAACAGATGTTAGAGACACAGATCACAATATCTCCATTACAGAATCTCATCTGGGACCACTTAAAGCCCTTTCCCGCCAAAACTCCGAAAACATGCCCATGTCATTTCATGTTGCTGCATGTGCAGTTTTCGTCTGACCTTTCACCTCCAGCTTATTTACCCTGTAGCCTGCCGCCAAACCTTGCAAAGTCGGTTCGTCTGCCTTTCTCCTACAGTCTATTGCTGGAAATCAAAACGGATGAAATCAATACACAATCTATTTATGTTTGGATTATAATATTTACAGTGGATGTTTTTGTTATTTGAGTATGGTTGTTGAAGGCAAATGCGTTGCGCACTATTTTGTCTCTTCTGTGCGGAGCGATCCTGGAAGACTGAGCACAGCATGTTGATACATTTCTTCGTCCATGTGATGGGACAGGAGCAAATCCGCGGCCAAACACAGGTTTGTTTTGTTCGATTTTTCCCGATTTTAGCGCAATCTGAGCAACTTTTCCTGTAACCATAGGGTGTTGTGTATGCTTGAGACTCGATACATGAGGTAGGGAAGCCTGTTAGGTGAAAACTCTGGCAGTTTTGAGGCATTTGTGAACACATTTTGGGGAGTGACCCTCCCATCTTTCTTATCAGGGTATGTACAGTCCCCTGTGGAACCCGGCATTTTACTCAAAGTTTACTGTTGTCAGAACTTTCTTACAGGTTTTTAGATGTAACACACGGTCTTTGGGAACTCTGTGCTGGCGTCTTGTACAAGTTTTTTTTTTAAAAAGCTGTTGCATTTTGGTAACACTCGGGATCGCAACTTGTTTTCCCCTTTCTCCCAGGCCAGCTGATCGGGCGGACAAAGCAGTCAGTTTCAACAACAAAAGGGAGTTTGCAACCGGCGTAAACAAATCAAAACTTAGATCAAGTTAAGATCTTATTACTCCGTGAAGGAGGTCAGGACCTCCGGACGGAGTGTTGTAATCGGCTGATTTTTCATGTTCGCAGTCAAAACACTGGGTTCTCTTTGTGTAATCGGCACGCAATTTTATACGCCGTCTGTGGGCATGCCCGTGTTGATGCACGAATGTGTATTTTTGCCGTTGCTGCTTTCGCGGTCAATGTAATATTGCAGACGCACCCCTATAATTACGAGGCGATTTGGAATGGTCCAGAAAAACGCGTTGTTTGGAATAGCAGTGTAAGTTCATGCAGATACGGGGTGGTTTTTATAAGTGGTTCCAGATGTTTTTGCCCATGGTTAAGAGATGCCAAGTTTTTTGGAAGATGTTCGCAGCCAAAACGCATTCTTCCGTACGTCGCATTTTTGTGTAATTTCGCATGTGGTGTGGCATTATGTCCGGGATGATGCACGTCTGTTTATTTTTACCGTAGCTGTTTTGATATTGGAGTAAATGGTTATTTTCGAAACATCCCCATGTCGTTGAAATGTTGTCGTCCGTTTATGTCACCGGTAGTAAGTCGCGGCGGGGCTGATGGGGACGGAAATGTGGGGTGGTCAGAGGTCAACATTAGGAAATGTTAATACCGATGACGTATGTATGTTAAATCCTATCGATTTCAAACTGGTCGGGTGTGGCGACCTAGTGGCGGCGTGTATTTAGTCACGTAGCAACTGGCTGGTCGTCCTAGCAACGAGCATGCTGGCTGCTTGACTGTACACATGGGCAATATTTTTGGGTTGGGCCGCTCCATAGTGTTAGTGGAGCAGCTCTTTGGAAAAATGGACAATATTTTTGAGCAACCCATCAATGTGTTTTGCCTCGTGGTCGGATGTGGTCTGGGGCTGGTAAACCACACATATTAGTAGATCGGATAATTTAATGATTTGCTAGTTGTAAAGGCGTCTTGTAGTATGAGCCGGTATATGAAGAAGTAGCCTGTGTTACACAATCATGCTTTCGGCCGGATTGATGTGCAACTGTTACTAATTGCGGGGACTGCGCTAATGCCGACCAGTCGCGCTGTCCTGATACACCGCGAATGTGCGAGTGTTCCCTGTAGACAGTCCCGGGAAGCACATTCCAGGAGCCAAACAAAAATACGTTCATGAGTCCAAAAAACCGAAACGTGAAAATCGGATGATCGGACCTGATGTACATTTCTCTTTCTGTAGATTGTACACACAATACACACATCTTAAGATAATCTGACCATGGCATGTAAAAAAAAAGTAACCCTGAATCATACTAGATCAGCGTAAATGCATGTTTATGCGTTCAAAACAAGAAAAGAATTTGTTTCCCGGTATTAATCTCTTGAAACACGGCGCTGAATATTGACGCAAAAATATTTCGGGCATCGCGCGCCCTTCCCCGTTGTTTAGACTGTATGCAAATCCCGCGTCACCTGTCGGCATTTCGCATCTCTGATTGGTTGTTGCGTCTTAAGATGACTGAGCCGACGCGCGTTTAAACAATTTTTCTTTGTTCGATTTATCACACTTCACAGATAATTGTCGCCAATGGCTACTTCTTTTTGTTGCAATATATAATACTTCACGGAGAATTGTCGCCTATGGCTTCTTGTTTGGTGGTTATTTTCTTACATTTCCGACAACTACTAAAGCACAAGGTCAAATGCAAACTCTGTCTACATAAATTTTGTGAATAACTTGCTGATATTATAATATTGATATAATAAGCACATCTAAATTATAAACTTCAAGTGCCCGGCGGGACCCCTAAACAAACTTTTTTTTCAAACAAATTTGGTATGTATGTATTCGTCAGTAAAAACTCATCCCATCCCATCGATCCCAGCTGTATCAATGTTATTACAACAGAGATATTATTCAATATGTTCAGAGTTTTGGCAAAAATCACATGCTTGCAATATTCATGCAGGGTCA